TCCTATACCCTTTTGTGGTGGGTGGTGAACCCTTGCGGTCTTATTTACAGAAACCAACCTCAAGAAGCAAGGCCTGCTGCCTCTAACTTTTGCTGACCCAGCTGACTACAACAAGATTCATCCTGTGGACAAGCTGAGCATTGTGGGTCTGGCAGACTTTGCACCTGGAAAGGTAACTGGTTGGATTTCCTATTGCAGCAATGACCTGTATTTTGCTTCCACTGGGCAAACTCCCAGGGATCAGAGAGATTTCTAGGGGGAGGGAGGGTTATGACTAACTCTGCTCCTAGAGCAGCAGTTCTCAAACTGTGGGTCAGGACTCCAAAGTGGGTCACAACCCCATTTTAATGGGGTCACCAGGGCTGACTTAGACTTGCTGGGGCCCAGGCCCAAAGCCCGAGTCCCATCGCCAGGGACTGAAGCAGAAGCCCAAGAGCTTGGGCCCTGAGTGACAGGGCTCAGCTTACAGGCTCCCTGCCTGGGACTGAAGTCCTGGGGCTAAAAGGGGCTTGGGTGGGCACAGGGTTCAGTCCCCCATCTTGGGGTTGGGTAGTAATTGTTGTCAGAAGGGGGTCACAGTGCAATGAAGTCTGAAAACCCCTGTCCTAGAGGGAGTGATGGAAGCCAGGCCTAGTGTTCTGAATGGAGTACTTACAAATATACGAATTGCCAACCAGATCTGAATGGTCCATATAGTCTAGTCCGGTATTCTGGATTTACTGGTGGTCCAGAGAGCTGACTCTCACTCATGGTGCTGGCCTCAATTCCTGCTGCCTCTCTCCATTGAGGATGATGTAAAAATAAATTACTTCAGTTACTGCTATTCAGTGGCAGCTACAGCAGTCTGTTACAGGGGAGTGTTATAGGATTGCAAATGGGACAACTGAGCTTCCTGATTGCAGATGGAAGAGGCAGTGTCTATAGGGCACTTGAGTTAAAGGACCCCTGAATTAGAAATTGTGTTAAACTGAAGGGGTCACTCATTCCTCTATCATGGGCTCAGTGTTCTCCTTTAAGTGATTCCTTTTAACCCTTTCAACAGGGTAGGGTCAAAGACTTTCTAGTGAGCATCCTGCATTCTCTTAAAAATGTAAACTCCAATCTTTTGCTTCCCTCCTCTCCCCTCTATAGCCCCTGAAATGCATCATCAAGCATCCCAATGGGAGTCAGGAAACAATCATGCTGAACCACACCTTCAATGAGACGCAGATAGAATGGTTCCAGGCGGGCAGTGCCCTGAACAGAATGAAGGAGATGCAGCAACACTAAAACAGCTGCACATAGGACCCAGTGGACTTGGCTCTGACATCTTAATAAAAGTGCAATTCCATAGCTGTTGGACATAAATGTCTGATCAAATGTAACCATAGCTTCTTTTTCATAGCTGTATTAGTTCACTGACACTGAACAGGGAGTGCAGCTCAGCTTGCTGCGTCTTGGTTTCCAAATTCCCCAGCTCTTTGGTTCAGATTTCACTTGTATTTATTTTTGAAGATAACTACTCAGTTGGCTTTTTCTGCCCAATCATTTCATGGATGGCTGAAGAAATTTAAAGTAGGACTTTTTGGTTCTTGTGAAAATATAAAATCCAAAATAAAGATTGTTGGACATCTCTGGTTTGAACTGTTGTATTGATATTTCTGATCACGGACCACACTCTGCCTGCAAGAGGTTGAAGGTGGGGCTGTGTGACTCCAGAAAA